ATACATTGTGACTTGGGTGGAAAGTTGTCTCATTGGCACTCATACCACCTCTTGCTTTATATATGATATAGTTGCAATATCCATAATGACCTGAAACAATTGTAGTAAATTTAAAAAAAAAAGTAAAGAAACAAAGCTACATTTATTCGGAACTATAAGACTAACTATGGAGAGGAAAACAAACTCGTATTTTCCTTACCCAGATATAATGCTATGCCTAATTAAAAATCATTTTAAAAGAAATTGAAAATGAACAGTACATAAGATTTATTATATTCCTACTTACTGAAGGCTTTAAAAGAGTTAGAAATTGAAATCATCCCTTCTTCAATTTTACGGACATCATCACGAGATGGTTGACCGTATCCGTTCCTAATGTCGTAACTACAATCCTGTCCCATTTTCACGAAAGTGACCTACCCAATAAGACATAACCGGGTTTGTGCTAACATTACAACATCACGGGTGCCACATGTAGATCTCCTTATCCTTCCGGAGCAATTTTTGGTGGGGTTCGTGTTGCTCAGTCACTAATTTTCTATGATGTGTGAGATGTACAGTTGTTCTTTTCTTTTTTAGTGTTGTCAATTAATCAATTATGTAGAAAAATGGTGAATTCAATCTGGTTTTAAAGCTGCTGTAATACAATGTAACGATGACATGGTAGGATTTGGGAAAACTTTAACTTGTTCTTCAACGGCATTTTTGTTATTTTTATCGCTGACATTCTCTCTGTTATCTCCTCCGTTTGTATTAAGATGTTCATAATAGTATGTGCATGCTCGTTTAAACACTCCAAAACTAGACGTGCTGAAAAACAGCCGTAGGCCACCAACGGTCAATTTATAACTTCATTGTTCTTATCTTGTTGCACCCAAGGGTGACTGGGGAATAGAAGTATGGTCACCATTGGTCTTCCTCCGACCGGCAATAAAACCCTTGCTAAAGTGGGACGTCCGTTTGGCTGTGCGGGATGTACAAATTTGCAGCCACGTCCGGTCAGAATAGGGACGTTAAATCCGATTCCTCGTGTAAAGAGAGTGCCACGCTCTTTGCACGTTAAGAACCCTTGCAACAACTCTTTGAGGGGTCCGTAGGTGACCTGTTGCAAGGCTAAATTTCTGTCCCTATCCAAAATACCCTCATTTCCTGTGGCAGTCTAAATTTCTCCGACCTTAATCCCGGAAACCCCTATTACAGAACCTACCTATTGTATTTATTGTTAATTTGTTCTCGTCCTGAATATGCATGAAATATTTGCCACTGGACGTTAAGCAACCAACAATCAATCAATCAATATACCCTCATTTTCCATGGCAGTCTAAATTTCTCCGACCTTAATCCCGGACGCCCGTAATACAGAACCTACCTATTGTATGTATTGTTAAATTGTTCTCGTCCTGATTATGCCTGAAATATTTGCCACCGGACGTTAAGCAACCAACAATCAATCAATCAATCTTATCTTATTGCATCTTGTTTCTTTATTAAGGCCTTCGATTTATTTAAAGTGTAGTCTCTTGATATATTTTGGTGTTGAACAGTTTTGTTATTGTCTGCCCTTTGATTTTTTTCATCAGGGAAACAAGAAGGAAGGACAAATTGATAGGGACAGAAATGATATATTAAAAGGAACATTGGGGGTCCGGTGCGAAACGGCTAGAAGGAACGAGGGGAAAATGCTTATGACCAAAAGTAAAGCTGAATGAAGCAAACAAAATGATTTTACCTTCGACAAATTAATCATTCAAGTTGTCTGGTGTTTACCATTATTTTTCCTTAAATATACATATAGTATGTTTATATAAAGGCTTACTTCATCGATGAATACCTCTTTTGACATTTACCTTTACGTTAGCTATTTATGTATATGTATTTAAATATACAATTACTAAGTTTTCTTGCCATAAAAAAGACATGTGAACACAATGCAGTCAAAATTTTAATGTATTTAATTATTTATTTTAATGGTTTTTCATATGTCTACTCAGGCTCGACCGGTAACCAAAGGTCTTGTTGCACACGGAACATCTGTATGGGTTATCTCCACTATGCGAATTCATGTGATCCTTAAGGCTGGTAGAGTCTTCAAATGAACTTCCGCACTTATCACATTTATGCTTCAGTGATTTTCCTTCCTCCGTTTCATTGTGGCGCTTCAAATCCTCCTCAGAATAAAACATTTTATTACAACTATCACATTTAAACTGGACGTTAAGCAACCAACAATCAATCGATCAATGCGGATAAATTACAAATACTGTTTCATTAAAAAAAAAGTTGGAATATATTATAAAATATAAAAATGTATAAAATTAAAATGATTTTAATTTATCACGTTATCTTACCGTTGTATTAAATTTGTTTATAAGCAATTTTGATTTAGACTTGAGTTTTAGTATATTGAAGGACCTTTTGTCTGATTTTAAAAATATACTTTAAATTGTTAATTATTTGAATTAGCTCTCGCAGCGATAAATCCTTTTTGCGCTCATGTGGCGTAAAGCAAACACCAATCAATCAATCAATCAATCAATCAATTAATGCGGATATGTTTTCAATGCCGCTGGGTTAATTGGTCAAATATTTGCGTTAAATGGTTACAATGTTCTCATTTTTAAGTATAAATTTTGTTTATTTAAAAGTTCTAGAAAAAATACAAAAATTATTTTGACATATGTTTTTTTAAAAAAAAGAAAAAACTAAAAACTGAATTGTGAATATTTGTACCGTGACTTTCTATCCAACATTCGACATACTCATCATGAGTATGTTGCTGGGATCTGATATAACGTTTGAATGTATGACACATATAACAATATTTTTACACAAGGTCCAAGGACTATGATAATCATATATACTTGTATACTGATTTCCATTTTAAAATTTTGTTTGATGTTTAGGTAAAGAACCTTATTGGACTAACTTGGTATCTTAATCTTCCAAGTCTAATCACTACCTTTTTGATACACAAAATAAAGTGCATTGATCATAACATTCTATATCCTATCCATGAACATTTCCAGATAATTATCTATGTAATATATGCTCTAATATTCAGGGCACACAATGATGTTACACTTGTCAAGAAAATTACATAACTTTTGCATGGTGCGGGAATCTAATGGCTGTTCTAAAAATATAAATGATGTTACTGTTAAAGTCTTCTTAAAAATATGGAATTCCCTTCTTTTGTTTAGAATTGCTGATAAATCAACAACAAAATGTTGGTTGGGAAAAAAAGGGTGTGTGTGTGTGTGTGTGTGTGTTCCAGAATCCAAACATGATTTATGATTTTTTGGAAACATTTGTTGAGAAGTCTGCTGATCCAGCAAAACTCAAATCATGAATTCACTTCTTTGGTTGAAGAAATACAAATTTATTACAAGATTGCCTGCTTTCTTTTCCAATAACTAATTCCAATTTGTAGATTGAGTAATTATTACAACAATAAGAAATGCAATTATAAAGTTTTCAGGTGTAAAAAAACAGAAAACCACTTAACACTTTATAGAAAAATCTTTGAGGTACACACTTGTTGTTTCCTATTCAAAATATAACATTAGGAAGCTACAATCAAATTGATGTTAGGAGACTAAACAATTTATCTGCATTAGACTGCAATGGTTTAAAATTCCTATTAGGGCTGTTCCAGAAAATACTATGTCCCCATCAGGAACAGCACTTTTTTAAACCCCACCACCCACAGAAATTATAATAAATTAGAACAACACTTCCTTTGCATTTTGGTATTTCAAATACAACCAACCACATAATATAAAAAAAAAATTGCCTTCCCTGGGGGTTGACATAGTATTTTCTGGAACAGCCCTTAATGAAACATATGTAAAAGAATGAAAATATTATCTTGTCACAATTTTTTTTTATTTAAAGTCCGTCCAAAATAGGATACAATAGACACACACCTCCTTGCATTCTGCCAAGTGTGCAGTGTACAAGCTTTAGCTATTTTTTTTTGTTGAGACAATATGTGGTTTTTCTCTATTTATCAACTACACACTTCTAACAACCCATGCAATCTGAATCAGACCAGTTAGTAGGTATTACAGGGTTGTTTCAGTGGCAAGCATTCCACACCTCCTTATTTTATACCAAAACAATATCAACAAAAAATAAATAGTGGTTACACTGAAACATATATACAAAAGGAATGCAGATCCAACCCTCAAATGTTGCAATGAACTTCTAAAAGCTTCCTGCTCATAAAAAGAGGGTGCTGTAAATTTTCATCTTGTTTTGCAATTTGTATTTTGTATATAAAGAAGTTGAAGGTTTGGGGTGGGGTTGGTTCGCCTTCAAACTAGTTTAACCCCACCACATTCTGTGTGTGACTGTCCCAAGTCAGGAGCCTGTAATTCAGTGGTTGTCTTTTGTTGCTGTATATCATATTTGTTTTTCATTCATTATTTGTCATTTCGGGGCCTTTTATAGCAGACTATGCAGTATGGGTTTCACTAATTTTTGAAGGCCATACAGTGACCTATAGTTGCTCATTTCTGTGTCATTTAGTCTCTTATGGATAGTTGTTTCATTGGCATTTATACTATATCCAATTTTTATAAATGCCTTACAACCTTTTTTTTTTTAAAACTTCAGACTGCAAATCAAGGACCTTTAATCACTTAGGTCTCAAATTTTCTAAAGAAAACAAACAAACACTGTTTTTCTCCATCATTTGCTTACAGATATTATATAGCAATTGTGAAAAATTTGAACCTTCGATATACAATTTCTTATTAATATTTTTATATCATATGTTCACTGAAATTGTATTAATACCAAATTCATTTTATATTTCACTGAAATTGTACTATCAAATTTATTTCATATTTCTCTGAAATTGTATTATCAAATTTATAACACAAAGCTATAAAGCAATATACATGTACATCAAATGCAAACTTCGGATGATTTTAAACAATTCAGTTGTAGTGTTAGTTCTTGGTCCTTTTGTTATTTTTCTCTGTGGGCTGCAACACATAAATTGATCAACCAAGTACGCTCTGGTTTTGAGAAAGTCTGAAATAAGAAATACAAAATAATTGCAGAATTGAGTGTAGAACATAATCCTTGAAGCAATACACAAAATATAAAGTATAGCAGTCCATTAAAACGTTTAATCCCGCTGCAAATGTTTGCACCTGTCCTAAGTCAGGAATCTGATTACAGTAGGTGTCGTCTGTTTATGTAGTTCATACGTGTTTCTCGTTTCTCATTTTAATATAGATTAGACCGTTGGTTTTTCCGTTTGAATGGTTTTACACTAGTAATTTTTTGGGGCCCTTTATAGCTTACTGTTCGGTGTGAGCCAATGCTCCGTGTTGAAGGCCGTACCTTGACCTATAATGGTTTACTTTTATAAATTGTAACTTGGATGGAGAGTTGTCTCATTGGCACTCATACCACATCTTCCTATATCTATAAACATAAAACTTTAAAAACTGCAGCTGTGCTATTTGTGCAATCAAATTGCATTGATCTTATAATCATTTGTGATCAAGTCACTGACCGTACATATATAGTGGACAAAAGTGAGTTCCCATTAAAAAAAAAAGTCCTATCATTTCAACTAAAATCAATATTTAAATAAATGGAGAATGTGTCCCCATGGACACAGATGATGCCCCCGCTTGCATACAACATTATAAAGGGACATAACTCAAAAACAATAAAAGTGACGCGACCCAAATTTGTACTTGATCTGAGTTTTGTGGTAATAATTATTGTGTATAGGTTTCATAATGTTTGGTTGAGACAAACTCAAGTTAAAGAATGGAAACTAAAAATTTTGCAATTTTTCCATTTATAAAGGGGTATAACTCTACAACAGTTAAAGTGACGCCAATAAAATTCAAACTTGATCTGTGTTTTGTGGAAATAAGCATTGTGTATAAATTTTATAACATTTGGCTGAGGAAACTTGTTAGAGAACGGAAACTGAAAAGTTTGCATTTTTTTCCATTTATAAAGGTGCATAACTCGAGAATGGTTACAGTGACCCCACCAAAATTCAAACTTGATCTTTATTTTGTGGTAATAAGCATTGTGTATAAGTTTCATTACATTTGGTTGAGGCAAACTTAAGTTAGAAAACGGAAACTAAAAATTTTGCAATTTTTGGATTTATAAAGGAGCATAACTCTAGAACGGTTAAAGTGACGCCACTAAAATTCAAACTTGATTTGTTTTTTTTTATGGTAATAAGCATTGTGTATAAGTTTCATAGCATTTGGTTGAAGCAAACTCAAGTTAGAGAACGGAAACCAATTTTGGGACAGACGGACAAGAGTATAACTTAATGGCCCCTCCGCTACATCGGGGGCATGAAAAATAATACCAAGTAACTTATAAGCGATTTCTATAAAATAAGTACCGCAAGATGTAGAAATGACTGGTTTTATTTTTTATTCGGCCAGGAGTTTAATGTGGGTCATTCTCTTTTTCACCATTCTAATTTCATGAATTTGGTAAGATTGCATAGCAAACCTTTCCTAAAATATTTTCCTTTGTGTTCACCTTGTTAGAAATTAAAATGATGAGCTTGTCCGAAATAATAAGAATCCTTATTGAAGTTATTCTTTGTATTTTGGTTTAAATCTAACAAGGTTATTGACAATAGTATATCATAACTTTATTTGACAGACATATACAAAAGAACTGTTTCTCCCAAAAATGTCCTAGTTGTAATGTGTAAACACTATTGTAGCAGCAATATTTGACCTTAAATGTTTTCTTTTTTAAATAGTCATCTACTCTTAATAACAAATAATCCCAATGACATCACTTACTGTTGTCCAGTAGTATAGATTATGAGAATGAATGCAGAAGCTCATTTGACTTCTTGTGTGTTGATTTATCAAGTTCCCCTGGTAATTTCACTAGTCTTGGTCATCAGGCTTGTAGACGAATTTGTCTATCTGATTCGATCTCCTTTCAAATCTGTTTTCTATTTTAAATGAAAGAATTAAAGATCAGTGTAAACAACTTGATCTTACTTCCAATACATTTCTAGGAATATGATTGGTTAAAAGCAACCACGTGGAGACCGTTTATATTCCATATTAGGTTATTAGGCGGGCTTATTTCAATACACTGTTAGTAGTGGTGTTATGTCCCTTTATACAAACAACACGGTGTTGATTTATCATTGCGAACATAATACTCAGTGTCAGATTTTTAACATTTATGTAATAGAAACATTGTAATAATTCCCCCGGTGGATCGCTATCCTTGCCGTGGTCGGGGGGCTTGCGTGTCTCAGTGACCCAAAGAGCTATGCCAGTTGGAGCTTCGTCTCCTGGTAGGGTTACCCATGCTGGACAGGTCGAAGGGTAGAGACCAGACTAAAGTGATCCGAACATCGTACGAGTTGCCCGATGTTTTGAATAAAATAGGCTCTCCAACCCGTTGGCCGTGGGTTGCTACCCGTGTCGGTGGTTGAAGAGATCCTTGCGGATGAGGGCTGTAGCCAGACTCCTTACGGTCAGAAAATACCCGGACGGACAAGACTATAGTTCAATAAGCTGCTTTGGCTCCAATATCATCTAAACGGGAGGTCGGATGGACCCGGTTCGATCAATCGGCTGGTCATGTCGAGCCCTTCAGTTAATCCCCAACAATAAGCTTTCTTGTAACAATTTTCATGAAATACACATGTGTTTTAAATAAAGCTATTTATATTTCGGATAACTGAAGAAGGCGATGGCTCATGGGTCAATCAAGTGGTACGCTTTCTATTTCGCTTGATGGATACGCTCTGCTTGAGTATACCATTCTTGGAACATTTTGTGCTTTCCGCAGTGGATCTTGGGTGCTAATTTTGGGGACCAGCTACGTTATACATGTTATACTTGGAGCTCGTTTTCAGCATTAGCACTTGACCCCGGCTCGCCACGGAAACACAGCATCGCCCTTGTAGGCACTCCGAGGTGGGTGGATGACAAGAATGGTGAATCTTTCTCATTTCCTATGGCACAACAAAACCAACCCTCTAAATCAGCTTTAATACATAAAAAAAGAAAATGTGATGATTCAGTGCCCTGTCAGGAAGATGACAGTTGGCCCAGATTTATTGTAATAAAAGGAACAGATGAAAAACCAATTTCCAAAATATCTCCCTTTGTGATTCACAAACAAATTCAAAGCGTTGCTGGTACTGTAAAAAAAGTTTCAAAAATGAGATCAGGCAATTTGTTGGTTGAATGTTCCAACAAAAGTCAATCAACAAATTTGCTTACACTGACAACAATTACAAACTTTCCTGTTTCTGCCTCTCCTCACAACAGTTTGAACAGCTGTAAGGGGATCATTCGAGACAGAAGTCAATACCTTGGTGACCTTACCGTGGAAGAAATCTGTGAGGAACTTTCAAGCCGTAACTGATGTTGTTAGATTTCAAATAAAAAAGAATGGAAATATAATCAAATTAAATACATATCTTTTGACATTTAGAACTCCAACTCCTCCTCCATCTATTACTTTAGGTTGCTTCGGAATCAGAGTTGACAGGTTCATCCCTAACCCAATTCGATGCTTCACTTGTCAAAAGTTTGGTCATGGAAGCAAACAATGTCGTGGTACGCAGAGATGCTTCAAGTGTTCTGACGAAGGACACGAGGGAACAACCTGTAGCTCTGAATCTTCTAAATGCGTAAACTGTGGTGAATCCCATTTTTCATCATCCGTTTACCTTAAAGAAAAAAATATTATCAAAATTAAAACAGAAAGAAACATCAGTTACCCAGAAGCTAAAGATAGCTTCTGTTTCGAATGATCTCCTTGTTTCGAACAGACCATCGTACGCCAGCAAGGTTGTCCGCTCATTCAGTCACGAGCATACACAAACTCGCATGACCTGGCCAATTGATGCTGAGACATTTACAATGCTGCCTGTTGAAACAGAACCTAACGATAAAATATTAATTCCAAGAAAACCAACACCTTCTAAAACCAGTACTCAGTCAACTCAATCTTCCTTACAGAGCTCAATGTCATCATCTAAAAAAAATGAAAAAAAGAAATCAAATGAAAAAGATACAGTGAAATCAGACAGTTGGGGCGGTGAATCTGTCTGGGATCTTCCCAGTGACATAGATGATTCTTCCATCTCCAATAGTCCTCCTTCATCTGCATCTAATAAAACTAGTTTATCTTCTGCATCTAGTACAAAGTCTTCTAAAGCCCCGTCTCCTCTTCGTTCTCCAGAACAGAAGGATGTCCCAAAGAAGCCAGCAAATACATCCTCTCAGAAGTCTTCTGATTCGAGGTCGCGGGGTAGGGGTCGAGGCGGAGTAAAACCAGCTGCGCATGGTCCTGGAGATCGACGACTCTCCTCACACAACAGATTTTCAACACTTAACGACGAATCAGAAATGGAAATCGAAAGTGTTCCGCCACCCGAAAGATTACAATCTCAGGGTGAGCGAAATAAGAATGCTGGCAAACTCGATAGCATTCGCCCGTCTATTAACAAATCATGACTAATATCATCCAATGGAATTGCCGAGGTCTTAAAATAAATCTTCTCGAGTTAACGCTTCTAGTTCAGTCTTTTTTACCTACTGCATTTTGTCTTCAAGAAACTCATTTAAAAGAAAGTGACAATGTATCTTTAAAAGGATACAACATGTATAGCACATTCTAAGGTAGATGAACGTGCTGCAGGCTGATCATCCATTTTTGTGAAGGACAACGTCATTCATAGCACAGTCCAAGGTGTAACTGATGTTGTTAGATTTCAAATAAAAAAGAATGGAAATATAATCAAATTAAATACATATCTTTTGACATTTAGAACTCCAACTCCTCCTCCATCTATTACTTTAGGTTGCTTCGGAATCAGAGTTGACAGGCTTATCCCTAACCCAATTCGATGCTTCACTTGTCAAAAGTTTGGTCATGGAAGCAAACAATGTCGTGGTACGCAGAGATGTTTCAAGTGTTCTGACGAAGGACACGAGGGAACAACCTGTAGCTCTGAATCTTCTAAATGCGTAAACTGTGGTGAATCCCATTTTTCATCATCTAGGGACTGCCCTGTTTACCTTAAAGAAATCAAATAAAAAAGATACAGTTAAATCAGACAGTTGGGGCGGTGAATCTGTCTGGGATCTTCCCAGTGACATTGATGATTCTTCCATCTCCAATAGTCCTCCTTCATCTGCATCTAATAAAACTAGTTTATCTTCTGCATCTAGGACAAAGTCTTCTAAAGCCCCGTCTCCTCTTCGTTCTCCAGAACAGAAGGATGTCCCAAAGAAGCCAACAAATACATCCTCTTCTGATTCGAGGTCGCGGGGTAGGGGTCGAGGCGGAGTAAAACCAGCTGCGCATGGTCCTGGAGAAACTCATTTAAAAGAAAGTGACAATGTATCTTTAAAAGGATACAACATGTATAGCACATTTTCTAAGGTAGATGAACGTGCTGCAGGCGGATCATCCATTTTTGTGAAGGACAACGTCATTCATAGCACAGTCCAACTCACCACGGATCTGCAGGCAGTTGCAATTCGTTTATCATTAGATAAAACAATTACATTATGTTCTATATATATTCCACCCAATTCAATTATCGATAAAGCTAAACTCAAAAACCTCACTGATCAATTACCCTCACCATTTATACTTATGGGCGACTTCAATGCACACAACCCCTTGTGGGGAAGCAAGTCTCATAATATCAAAGGTAAGATCATTGAGGACTTTGTCTCTCAAGAAGGATTATGCATTTTTAATGATGGATCTAATACTTATCTTCATCCTGGAAACGGGTCTTATTCTGCTATTGATATCACTATTTGCGATCCCTCTCTTCTTCTAGATTATTTATACTTATGGGCGACTTCAATGCTGATATTCGTAAGAAGCATTTCAATGTCAATAATATGTATGATTTATTTAATAATGTTCCATTTACAAGACCTCGGCAAATCCGAAACATCCCAGCAAACCATGGTTTGATGATGCTTGTGATCAAGCAATAGGTGACCGTAAAAAATCTGAAAGACGGTTCAATCAACAACCAACGACTGGGCTTTTAGCCAATATCCAGTGTGGATTCCGCCAAGGTCGCAGTACTCTTGACCATCTTGTTCGATTCGAATCATTTGTCCGTAATGGTTTTGCGAAAAATGAACATGTAGTGTCGGTCTAGAAAAAGCCTATGATACTACATGGAAGTATGGTATTTTAAAAGATCTGTTTGATATGGGGTTGAAAGGCAATATGCCAAATTTTATTTCGATTTTTTTATCTAACAGACAATTTAATGTTAGAGTAAATTCAACCATGTCTGATCTGTATGATCAAGAGATGGGTGTCCCTCAGGGCAGTATTTTATCTGTTACATTATTTAGTCTTAAAATCAACAGCCTTGTTGAAGTTTTAAAAAGTAATATTGAAGGTTCATTGTATGTTGATGACTTTTTAATATGTTATAGAGGCAAAAATATGAATAACATAGAAAGACAATTACAGTTATGTCTTGGAAGAATTGAAAAATGGGCCTCGGAAAATGGGTTTAAATTTTCCATTTCAAAAACGGTCGGGATGCATTTTTGTAACAAAAGGAAATTGCATCTTGATCCAGAACTCACTTTGTACGGCAACCCAATTAAAATGGTTGATGAAACCAAATTTCTTGGGTTAATTTTCGATAAAAAGTTAACCTTTCTACCCCATATCAAAATGTTAAAATCGAAATGTTTAAAAGCATTAGATATTTTAAAAGTTGTCGGCAGCACCGACTGGGGTGCTGATCGCAACATTTTACTTAATTTATATAGATCTCTAGTTAGATCTAAACTAGATTATGGCTCTATAGTGTATGGCTCTGCAAGGAAGTCCTACATACAGATTCTCGATGCTGTGCATCATCAGGGTTTGCGTCTCTGTCTTGGCGCATTTAAAACCTCACCAGTTGAGAGTCTGTATGTAGAGGCTGATGAG